GTTTTAGTCCTATATGGAGCAATTACTTTATGTTTCAATAATGTCACTTAGTGAGAGGAAAATGAATACTTCGTATATCCATTTTCAACCATAATATCTTCATACATATAAATTTTCAACCCTGATATCTTTATATATTATTATAATTATTATTAAATATCTCACTTAACTAAGTTCCTAAGGTGACGTTGGTATATATGCTCTGAAATCGACGAAGTAAATATGAAGCGGTGCCCTCCTCATTCGCATTTATGGCGGGCCAATTAAGAAGAACAGAGGTTTGTTCCAATACCATTGACATGGCTTTGAATGCTCCGTCTAGTTTAGTATGCAGGCATCAGAGTACATGACAAGCAATTAATTTACATGGTACACAATTGCTCTGTCGGTGATTTCTTTTTCCTTTTCCACCAACAAATGTTTCTCTTGTTGTTAGTTTTTTTTATAATCCTAGTGTCCTATTTACGCTCCCATAATCCTGGAATCAATAAACTACCCCTCTATCAGTAATTTATGTCAGTACTGGCTCCAAAGGATGAATTCAACCGCTGAACAACTCTGTAAAATTAGGAAGAATCATTGAAAGCAAGATCTCTTCATCTTCCCTTGATAGGAATTGAACCCAAGACCTCGCACAAATGAGAGAATTGGAGGTGGATGGTCCATTGGATACACCCACCAACCCAATTCTCCTCGTTAGTCTTTACAGTATGAGAATACTCTTTTTTATAATATTTAAAAAGTACATTCAAATAATTGTTTTTACTATCTATGACTATTATTTTGTACGTCTTAATAAGAGTCAACAAAATAGTACTCGTAATTATTCCATACATACAAATTAAAGAAAGGGTAAATGAATTGGTCAATGCTTATACATGCCGATAATTAAGTTAGAACCAAACAAGTCATAGGGAACTGTCATCATTTATTACACCATATATATTACATGTAGTATATGGCACGAAAGTATGACACCTTTATCAGGTCGGAGTCACTCAAGTAAACATGATATATACTCTCCATCATTACTATTTTACCTTTGTCAATTTATATTTCTTGTACTTTAAGAAATGTTGACATTTTTTACTAGTTCATATTATGATTTTTGATTTATCCCAAATGAAACCTCATTGGGTACTCATATGAATCACCGACTGACTGATTCTGCTAAATTATATGTAGTATAATAAAAATTTATTTTAATATACATATTGATGAATTAATTTTTGAAACATGTGAGAAAAAAGCTAAAACACGTGTTTCGTCAATTGGAGTAACTTCAATAAAATATAACCATATTTGCTTAATTTCTATATGCAAATTTTACCGTACTCTCAAATCTCAATATAATAACGGAGTATAAATACTTGTTTATTTTAGATGCATTTTACAATTAATCGATTAATATAAACATATGAGATGCAGTGTAAGTACATATTCTCCCTTACTTTTGAGATACCGTAACTTTCACTTAAATTTTTAACTTAAGAGATCTAAAAGTAATGTTTTGTGAAAAGTTGAAGAGATTGGATACTTTCAAAGGAATGGCCACTATATATATTTCACATGTTGTGGGATAACCATCATCGCAGCTACTAATTTACCACACCTTTTCGTAGTTCACAAAACCCGTTCACAAGTCTTTTAGTAGGTGCAATATGTGCTTGACATCAGAACTCACTTTTATAGGGGTCTTGAAAAATTTAGCATGTAGTAGTAGTTATAGATTGATTTTTTTGAATGTTATGAATTATTCTAAATTTCAAAATATCTTTAATTTTTAGATTGTCTAATTTGTGTACTTTTAAACATTATAAAACTTATATTTCACTAAATTATCTGGTCTATTTGTATTTTATTGTTAAATATTGAATACTCTCTTGTTTTAGGGAGGCTGATTTCATCATTTGCAACCGAGGCCTCCAAATTCATTAGATGACCCTGTTGATAGCCGAATATCAATGGATAGAAGCCTAGACGGCTAGAAGGAATGCATGACCTTGAAAGCATTTTAATAAGTATAGTTCACTTATAATGGAGTACTAAAAATAGATTAATCTAAGGGGATTACTACTTTCTTAGATGACAGTCCATTCCCGAGGTCCCGGCACCGGCCGGAAAGTCAAGTAGGATGATGTAAACGGACTTTAATCACGAAGTGATAAATAATGAGTGAGACTCTGATCTAGTTACTTGCAGAGGCGCTATATGCATTTTCAGCATAGTAACTTATCATCATAGCTGATAAGATTTGAACCCTAAATTTATACCTTATGCACATCTATCTACCAGTTGAGCTACACCCACCGGCAAAGACGGCTTTCTTAAAAATGATTAAATTGAAGCCCAACCTGCACGGGTAGCTTAGTTTATCGAGTGGTGAGAAAATTGGACCAACTGACCAAGGTTCGAAACCCGCAGCGGCCTTGTGGAGGTTACAGAACCTGAAATAAGGTTGGACCTCTGGTGCGCACGTGTATAAGGTCTACCACCGCTTTGCTGACTGAGTCACCGTGATTAACTCCTCCACCATCCTGTCGGGTCAGGGTGAGGGCTCTTAGGGTGAGAGATTCCACCTTTTTGGACCAATTAAATTGAAGCCCATTTACATAAAAAAGCAACTACTTCCACACAGTCAAGATTCACATCATGACTACGAACAAGATGGTATATTACATTAAGACTTGAAGTTTCATTTAAACGGTCAACCAAATAAATGTGTAATTTGAAATTTTATACTCAAGGGATTTGAGTATAATAAAGTGAAATGATATGGACCACATCTTTCATTCCAAAAAGGAAAACAAAACCCTCATTTTGGAATATCCCAAAAAGGAAATACAGGACCATCATTTTGGGACGGAGGTAGTATATATTTTGGTTTTTAATTTCATATTTAATGTGTGTGTGAGATTACTTTTTCAACAATAATATGTGCAATAACATGAGAACTTATAATAATAAAACTATACATTAATTAATACGAGTACATATATACGTGTGAACCATTATAGTCAGGGTCATGATCAGGAAGATTTGGTATATCATGGACCAAATTACATGTAAAATGGCTTAGCCTGGTCATCATCACGCAAGTGAAAGAGGAGTATATCTTTTAGTGGAAGCGTGTGATATCCCAGACTTTGTTTTCTTCTGCTAAATTCAGAAATCTGGATAAGTAAAATGACACAACTGAAAATACCACACATCATTTGAACTTGGCAAAAGACATTCCCAGTTCCACGTTTGGGTCATCTGGGCTTGCAAGAAATAGGAAAACCACCACAAGTTTGGGAATAAATACACAAAATTTTAACTGTCATACATAAACAAGTACTGCATGCGGCCTGCCTCACCTCATCATACTTTATTTGATATCTGTTGCAATTAATTAAGAGTTTTCTTAAATTTATTATCTACTTTATCCACAGTGCATGTCATCATCACCCTATGGATGTACTCTCATTATATATTCCCTAAATTGATTTTTGAGATAGATTTAGAAAATGAAAATCCTGTGATCATGAGTTCTTTAAAAGAGACATAAATAATACCAAGTACCACCTTTGTCCCGTTCAAAGATTCTCATTGCAAAACAGCACGATTATTGACACAATAACAAAATATGTTAAATCGTGTATATTTTGATAAAAAAAATGATGTGTATATAAATATTGAGTTATTGATGATAATTGTGATGTTATAAATGTATGCTATTATATTTTTAGTATAAATGATAAAGGTGTTATTTGTTTGCTAAATTAGAACATTGGAACCTTTAGTTGATAAGTCCAAAAGACAAAGTGAGAACTTTTGAATGAGAGACGGAGGGAGTAGGAATGAGAGAATCATTTTCATAAAAGGAAAATAATTTTTTCGGGACGGACAAAACCTAAAGTATTAAGTTTGTACTTCAATTGTTCATAAATGTTTTTGTATATGTTTATAAACCTATTATATATTTGCTCAAGGAAATGTCAACATCTTTGAATGAAATGACACTGAAACCTCTAAAGAACAATATTGTTCTTGATTAGATAAGTTTTTTAATTTCTTTTCTCTCCCAAACTGTTTAATTTTTCACTAAAAAAAGCTCAAAATTCATTATTCTTTCAAGATCAGAATCGAATGCCGCGCGCATATTGTTACTTATATTTAAAAATAACTCGTATGATTTTTCAATTCATACATTTAAAGAATCAGTACATTATATTGAAATATGGATAACGTGTTTAATGTTCAACCTAAGTAAAAGTTGTATGTATAATTGTCAATTTGTAAGGATTATAAAAATGGAAGATTATATTAATTAAAATATAAGGTTTTAAAAACGAAAACTTCTTTTAATTTACCAATATATTGTCACACACATCCTTTTATCTGCTGGTATTAAAACAGAAATTTAAAAGAATTGAAAAGCTCAAGTATGGTAGGATAAGTTTGTTATGTTCATTCAATTGGTAAATAGTTAACCAGATATTATTTACAAACCCTTCAATTGTTATGTTTTAAGAGTATTTTCAATGAACACTTATTTTAGAGCGAAGGGAACAATACGAATTATATCGGTAAAAACTAAAAAACAGTATTTAAACAATGTATCAGATATTAATTGTAAGCTTGTAATTCATAGTATTGAAAAAATAGAACGTGACCTTAAATAAAAATAAAAAACTACTTCATCCGTTCCATAAAAGTTGCAACATTATAATTTCTGCACTATTCACACACCTTACTTTGACTACGATTTTCTAATAATATATATAACAAAAATATTATGTATAAAATATTAATAAATTTGTATTAATGTAAATTTCCAATATATTAACTTTTTTTAATGTTTACTAATACGTAAATAAATATAATTACAGTCAAAATTGCGTATTGTCAAACGTGAAAGTCAAACTGTTGCAACTTTTTATGGAACGAAGGATAGTATATTAATGCCCTCATTTTAACTTGTAAATAGAGGTACTGTGGAACAAGAAAGACCAGCTTGTGAATGTACAAATTCAAGATTTCTGGAAACATTGATCTGTAGTACTTAATGCCCTCATGCCCCTCAATAAACTGAGCCAAACATATGAATAAGTAATACTAGTATGAGGGTAACCATTTTAAATTGAAAAAAAAAAACAAGCGGCTAGATATTATATAAATCAAATGGGAAATGAAATCAAGAAACACGAAAAAGAAAAGAAAAACAAAAATCTAGAGATGAGTATATCTCTTAACTTACAAGTTACAACACTGATCTGCTACTTATCTGTTGTGTAAAGGATTGGGACCTGTACGGACTCTCCTCTTATCAGCACCAAAAATATCATCTTCCTTCTTCTCTTCATCATGGCCGCCCAAATTTGTGGCTGCTTTAGGGATCCGATGGTGGGATTTCCGAGCAGTCAACCCCACACCAGAAATGGGTTTGACCCTTTTTAATCTATGGGAATCTCCATTGCTGAGGTGGCCATCATCTGCATAGTAGTTTGGAGCTTTCATCTGTAGAAGTAGGAGAAGAAGAAGAGACAAAAAACCCAAACTCATCTTCTGTTTCTTGCTAAAACCCCACCACCTCATTGTTCATGAAGATGGATTAAGGGCAGATTTGGAACTCAAAGATTAAAGAACAAGTTATGGTCCAGTCCTTTGGATGGAAAATGCCTTGGAGTTTGAAGAATCAAGAAGGTGTGGGGGGGGGGGGGGGGGGGGGGGGGGAGAGGATTGAAAGGGAAGTCAATTTTAGGGGGGAGTCAAAATGCATAGGTATTGCTGCCTTCTCTAGTTTTAGTGAAAGTTTAGGGGGTGTGATGTGTAATCTTGGGAAACTTTTCTTTAAGGATTTCAGAGCCAATGCAAAACTGCAGCAGGCAAAGCTCTCCAATCATGCCCATACACACACCCACACACAAAAGAGGGAAAAAAGGAGACAACTTTAGGTGAAAAAATATTGGGTCTGGTTTCTCTTCTATAGCAGCTGGCCTATTTCGACCATTGGATCCATGTGGGGCCTATCATTCAATGGATCCCGACCTAAATCTCCCTCCGGTCGGACGACGGTTCCACTTGACGTTATTAATGAAGATGGTAAGAAGGTAGATTAATCCACCTGTCCAAAAAATATTGGTGACAACTCCGATACTCATTAAGAAATGGGGTACCGCATCTACCATTCACTTGATTTGTTCAAATCATTACATCATTTTTAATTTAGATTTAAATAATTCAATTACATCATTCTGATTGATCCATGTGGACAAATGTATTGTACCTTAAGGGTACCATAGAATCTACCAAAAATATTTACGATAACTATCATACTACAATTTATGACCATAATTAAACATTTAAACCTTTTACTTTTACCATAAAAAAATGACACATTCATTTATTGTCGTTACTTATTCATAATTCTTTTGTCCAAATTTTTTATTCGTTTTATTCCTCCTCATTTTATGACTTTATGAGAGCTCTTTGTCATTTGTTTGATTAATTTGCAACTTTTTCTACAAGAAACAAGCATTTCTTTCCATTTAAGTTCATTTTTCTCTCTTCAATCAAAGAAGAATTTGCTTATATATATGCTATTTGTATCAAAAATACTTTTTTCCAATGGGGTTTCAAAGTATCAAGTTTTTATCAACTCTTACATTATTTGTGTATTTTGTATTTGGTGCAACTTAATTTAACCCACCCTTTGTTGTTCGAAAATCTGCATACAAGATAAAATAATAATAAACGGAAAATGAAGAAGATGAAGCATACTCACTAGAGGATTAAATTGAGCCCAAAAAATGATTATTCTCATTAAAAAAAAGGTGACAACTCCGGTACCCATTTAAAAAATGGGGGTACCGTACTTATCATTCACTTGAATGGTCCACATCATTATATCATTTTTAATTTAGATTTAAATAATTCAACTGCAACACTCTCATTGGTCCATGTGGACAAAGGTATGGTACCTTATGGGTACCATAGAATCTACCTAAAAAAATGGTGACAACTCCGGTACTCATTTAAAAACTGGGGGTACCGTACCTATCATTCATTTGATTGGTCCACATCATTATATATATCATTTTTAATTTGGATTTAAATAATTCAACTGCAACACTCTCATTGGTCCATGTGGACAAAGGTATGATACCTTATGAGTATCATAGAATCTACCTACAAAAATTCCCACTATACAATTGTTTGCCACGATAGAATGACATCTCATTTCGGAAGGACTCGGGCAAACCAAGGGATGGAGTTGTAGCGAAGAAGGAGGATAAAAAGTTTATGTTTATTTTCAGAGTTGGTATAACGATCATTACAAAAAATGCAAGCAATTTTGAGATTGTAAAGTGCTTTGACAACAAGACGATAATCCAAAAGGTGTCGCTCAAGAAAGGTGAAAACTCTTCTTAAAAAGGCTAATCATCAGATTGAATATTAAAAAATAAGTGTTACTGTAACGACCGTCCCCAAACGGACATTGTCATACTCAACATAAAAATAGACTCGATAAATCAAGCGGAAATAAAGATACAAAGTCTCGATGTGAGACTTTATTTCTTTTAGAACAAATCAAAACTTACATACATAACGAAACACATCCAAAATAAAATAATTGTAAAACCATTACACCTGATCAGGATTTTAAAAACGTTTAACAACCCTTTGAAGTACCAACGTACTAAAATCACAACATAACTGATAGCCCGATCTTCTTCGTTAACCCATCCAAAACCTTGTCCCCGGCTCCATACATTCTCTCAGGCTTGTGTACCTCGTTCATTACCTATACATGAGAATACGGGAAAATAGAAGTCTCGTAAGCAATAATGATTAGTAAGTCACCATTTTATCCACTAAAAACGTTTAGAGAATCTTAGCTAGCCATGATTAGATACATGAGCTTGAATACTCCATACACATAGCATATTCACACACATATTCATATCATGTAAAACACAACATCATGTAACGAAATCTAAAAGATTTCCTCATTCATCATTCTTTCTTCCTATCTTGCTACTTGATTTGATGGGCCCGTAGCTCGTGTCATGGCTCCTCGCTAATGACCTTGGGTAGCTAGCCCGCAACCATCAGAAGTAATCTCGGGACTCCTCGCGGAAGGAGATCCCGCTCCGTTCAGCTCAGGTAATTACTTGGGGGAACGACTACCTTAGAACATTTCTTATCATTCATTAGATATCATTATCATCACAACTTTCATTCATTGTTGGATTCCATATAAATCCAACCTAACCATAAACATAGAACTTGGATACCTTACACTGATAACTCAACAAGTTCTCAATCAACATCACCTACAATCATATATACATAACAGGGCATTCACATAATCTTATGCCATACAAATTCAAGTGTTCAAGCAAATCTATCCCATTCATAGAAAGCTAGACTTCCATGTTTCATTTCAAACTATCATGTATAGGTGGTGATGACTTACCTGATTCGCGTGGAGTATTTACCTGGTGTGTACTTGTAGAACTTTCACGAACAACGGTTCTTCGATGAGCAACTATATATATCATTTACAATTGATCAACATAATTTCATGTTTTTAACCAAAATCTTAAGACTTAGGAATGAAGGGAGATTCTACATAATCAGCCCCCTAGAAGTGAGAAAACTCTCAACTTCCTTCAATCAACCTACATAGTTCCGGGTAGCTAAAACCCAATTGTATCTTAAACCCAAGAATAAAAAAGAATTAAGCAAAAACCATACTATCAAGAGTTCTATGTATCTATTTAGAATCAACCTATACATAGTAAGAATTTTTCCCAAATTCTTTCATCAACTTAGTAAAAATTCGGAATAATTAGTTATTCAAGAACAAATTGAAGTTTGTTAAATCCAAGCTAAACAACAACTCCAAAACAATCTTACTATCAAGAAAATCCATTAATTTTCCTAGAATCAACCAAAAGTTCACTCAACCCTAGTTAAATCCCAAAACAAGAACTATGGATCAAATATAGAAGAATTCTTCATGTAAAGTGTAAAAATCTTACCAAGTGATGATCTTTGATGAAGAATAAGTTTTAATTTGAGCTTGAATCACCCTAGAAATGGTTTGAGATTGATTTGTAGAGAGAAGGACGAGCTGAGATCGATTTTGGGTTGAAAAGGGGGTTTTTGCGCTTAAAAACGATTTTGACTGACACTGCCAAACCCGACCGAACCGGCGCCGGTTTGTCCCTGAACGGCGCCGGTTTCCCAGCCACTCCAGAACCCTAAAGTTTCTGTTTTGGACCGGCGCCGGTCCGGGTCCAACCGGCGCCGGTTTGAGGCCAATCGGGTGCCGAAAACGTCATTTTACGCCCTAAACCGACCCCGATCGTTGCTGATCCCATCCTAGACCCCCAATGACCTTTTTAAACTATATTTTAAACACCCAAATACTATATAACATGACAAATAACTTGATATACCATTACATTCAAAAATACGAATGATTATTACAGTGTAGTTTCGTTGCTCATCGGATACCGTCATCTGTCACGTTCAAACATAATACAAGCATGTGAGTTCAAATATCATTTTCATAAAGTTCATAATCATGTTATCACTATACTTCACACATATAGCACTCAAACATAAGTTAAAGCATGATCATAATAAAAGTGATTAGCACGTAAGAAGTAAATAAAAAGTACGGGCGTTACAATCCCTCCCACCTAATAAAAGTTTCGTCCCCGAAACTTAGAATAACTCTGGGTAGCGCTTCCTCATGGCTTCCTCGGGTTCCCATGTTACTTCCTCGGTTTTGTGATTCCTAATAACTCTGTGATTTCTCCACAGTACTTTTACTAACATTATCTCTTTATTTCGGAGTCTTTTAACCTCATGGTCAAGTATTTTCACCTATTTCTCTTAATGGGGAGGCATACAACCACTTAAGTATTCTTCTCATGTTTTGTGCTTATACTAGAACACAACATTCTAAACATTGAACATAGCATTTATTACGGATTGGTTTCTCAACATTGATTTCTCACGTTTACTGACTTGCTCTATTTACTTGTTAATATGCCACACACCCTAAGAAATGACATTTAGACTTAGACAACATTCTACTAGGGTATGCTTGGCTCGAACTGGTCTTTTAAGTTTGAAGGACAGAAATTTTCTTAAGGTTCATCACTTCATCATGATTTCATAAATTTTAGAATATCTAAAACATAGCATTTCACCTTCTTCCTATTTAGAATTCATCTTCAAAATATGATTAAGTTGTGGGAGAGGATGAAGTTTCCTAATTCACCATTGTATCGCTTTCGTCCAATAGATTGCCTTATTTATGTTATATTGCCTTTATGTATAACTTACTACCTTATTTACTAGCTTACTATTTATCTCACAAACAGTTCATGATAGCAATGTTTTGACTTATGGGATTCATATGTAGGCCTAAAACTCTTTAAAATATTCTTTATGACACTACATAGTATTATATATTTATTGTTGAATCCTTAAGTCATCTTCTTCTTTTATGCGTGATAGAATACTCATGTCTAGCACATCATTTATAATCTCAGGAAAAATCATTTATTTTGTATGTTACACTTGTGCTATTTGTTGTCAAGGTGTCTCTCCATATGAAAATCTTTTCTAAAGCATAAGAGGAAGTCTTCATTTCTTTTAGGAATTTTATCAATTCATGACCCGAAAGATAGATAAATTATCAATCCGGGACCTGAAAGACGAAATGCACCGTTATAGGATCCGAATGATGGAAAACTATCAATTTAGGACTTGAATGATTGGAAATTATCAATTTAGGACCTAAGTTGTCCGAAATTTATTAATTTTTTTATCTTAAAATTTTCAAATATTATTTAGTTTTATGAAACTAATAAACTTTTGTGAAGAAAAGTTTATCAAAAATTAGCAATGGAATTAATAAAAAACTAAATAAATCAAAACCTATGAAATTTT